AACAGAAGGAGTATGCTTTTTTTCTCTGCAGGTTAATCCAACGGTTTATTGCTTCCCTGTAGGGGAAAAAAAAGGGCATTATCTCTGTTTAGAATTAATATGGCTTCAGATTTTAGTCACTGGTTAATGCTGTGCCTTTTCACTCTACATGTGGCCTTGTAGTGCTAATATTTCTTCACTTAATGGTATTTAATAAGCATTAAAATTGTCATCCTTTACACTTAAAAATGAGATTAACAGGTTTAGCTCTTTGAATCTCATTATATGGTTTTTCTCTAGTCTGTTAATATATGCAGATCTTGGCACCATCACAGATTCTCTGTCACCAAGCTAAAATAGAAACCTTATAGCTGGGTGCAATTTTCCATTGTAATGCCATAGCTGTGGTAGGATGAAATCCAAATCTCAGTGCTCTTTTAACCATTTTAGGCTCTTGAATGTATAGGAGGAAGTGGTGAGAACTCTTGCCGATGTTTAGCTAAGGCTTATTTGTGCTTGCTTGTTTGTAAGATCTAGTAGTCTCTTTCTGTGACAAAATCATAGAATAGTTAAGGTTGGAAAGGACCTTAAGGTCATGTAGTTCCAAGCCCCATGCCATGGGCAAGAAGGCCTCACACTGGACCATGTTGCCCAAGGATTTGTCCAACTTGGCCTTGAACATCCTACATTTCTTGTTCATACATGCCACTTTGTTTAAACTTGACTGTTGGAAAGAATGGTTATGTGACCCAGATCACTCAGTAGGACATTCTGACTACTAAACAATGAGAACAGACTTTGCTGACCAGTGACTCTTCCTTTCCTTTCAGCCGAAAATCTTAGAGGATATTACTGGAAGCCTCCTTTATGCTATGACATCTTGGTAGCACTGATGGGCCATGCAAACTCTTGGGCAATTTAATGTAAACATTCATAGGTTGTAGTTATCAAGAAGTTGTATTACTACTGCAACAGTGTATTGCAAAGTAGCTACAAATAGCTATTGGTTGTCCAGACTTAGAACTTTTCTTACAAGATCAGATCTGACTATTTGTTATAAAAGCAGGCTGATTCACATTGATTACATCATTTTCTGGCCGTCTAGGTTTATATCAGATTGGATTTTGTTTTCAGATATGCAGTATTAGATATCTGGTGCAACTTAAGGTGTCCCTTAAGTCACTGGAAAAAGCAGAGTTTGCCTTCTAAATGATGGTTTGTCCAAAAGATTTTTTCTGGGTTCCTTGTTAGTGCCTGGTTTCCAAGTTCTTAGCTCTTTCTTGTCTGCTAAATCTTCTGTTCCTTTGGCTGGAATTGTTTGCAAACCTACTGAACAGCTCTTATTAAATAAGGTAGGATTTTGGACTAGACTTTATTCAGCTAGACTTTTGGTCTGTAAAGCTCTCTTCTAGATGCCAACCCACTACCAATTCCAGCTAAGAAAATAAAAACAAAACCAAATAAAACTAAAAACCAACCCACACACACCCCTGGGAAATAAAATAAAAACCTTTCACCACAAAGAAACCTAAAACTGGGGTGAAATCATAGGCAGCTTATTGTGTTTGCGTGTTAGGATCCATATTTTAAAAATTTGTAGGGAGCTGCAGACTATTGTTTAACATCTGAGTGATTTGATAGTCATGCATCTGTAGTGCACTGTAGTACTTCAGTATGCTGCCAGCTTGAAATGCTGAAAGCTTAGTGGTTCACATCTCTTTAAATGGGGAGCTATTATACCTACATACATTCAGTTGGTGAAATGTTTTGAGATCCTTGCTGTGTGGGAATAAGCCAATTACATTAGTGTTTTTCAACCTGTTTTTCAGCCTGATAAGGAATGGAAGGTGTAAATCTGTTGTAAAGTTAACCTTGAGCTAGCAGTGCTCAAGCTCTAAGACCTGCATTGTCATGAAAGCTGAAGGAGGGACAACTTGAAGGTTTAAACAATTTCTAGAACAAGTTAGCTGAGGGAAGGAGATATGGGATGCCACAAATAAAAAATCGTAGGAGCTTTGTATAGCATATTGATTTTAGCTATTGAAACCGGAGAAGCAGGAGCAGAGGGGCTAGATTGTGAAGTGCAACAACAGACTTAACAGTTGAATAAGGCTAGTATTAATTTTGTGTGTTTATATGTGTACATATACACAGAGAATATGGAATAAGTGGGGGATGTGCTGAAATAGAAGATGCAAAAAAACACTTTTGTAGAAACTGCTGAGTAGCAGGCACCTAAGAACACAGGCTTTTTGACCCTGTTTAGCCAACCAGTGAAGACAGAAATATTGCATTTGTGGCTGAGGGCAGCTGTTACTGCCACTCCATTAATCTGTTTCCAGAAAAACCTGTGAAAGTGGTACATAAAGTAGAATCTTAAACTTCTGTGGAAACTTGAAGTCCTGGAATGACCTTAACACTTAGAGAAATATGGATGAAGATTTTAAGTTGTGAGGTGATAGATACAAAGGTACAAGAGCAAAGGGGAAACTTGTAGTTTCAAAACTTTTGATATACTTGTTAACATCTGAAGACTCCCAAAGCTTGTTTTCTCTTGGCCATCTGATCATTTTGGCCTGTGGCCAAAGCCAGACCCAGAAACCCATGTTCTGTCTCTTGAGTTTTCAGTCTTTTGCAGATTTTTTTTTTTTTTTCATTTTATTAGCTGCTTATTTACACTGTGTTGTTTGAAAGTTATTTTCTTACTAAATGAGAAACCCAGTACATGTCTCAGGATTGCTTACAGCACTGTAGCACAGTCTCCTTCCAATGGTCAGAAGGGATTCTGATCACTAAGGGGATATTTATGCTGAAAGTAGAGGTATCACAGCTGCTTGAGAAAAATTTTAATTGGGCATAATGCAGTGATGAGTATGGAATATGGCCATATGGGTCTTATACCATAGATGTTACTTGATTTCTTACCTAGTTGAAGCATCGTGTGTGTTTGTGGGCCATTAGCTTCTTTGTCCCGTTTCTTTGTATGGGCAAAGTTGCTCAACTTTTTGGGTCAGTTTGATTGCTATAGGTTAAAGAGAACTCTGCATGATTTCCCCAGTAAAATATCGAATTGCAAGACAAATTAAATAAGGCTCCTATTTTGTGTACTCTGTAGTTACATATAGCTAGTCCATGGATCTTACACATTTCTGTAGTCTTTCATATATGGTCTGAGTTACAACACACTTTTCTTATTCAAGGTGAGATATCCAAGTAAAGAAACTCCTTTTATTTTGAAGTTTGAGAAATTGCTACATATATTGCTGCAAAGAAAATGTTGCCATTATAAAAATAACAAGGCTTGATCAAAGCCTTTACCTTAATGAGCTGGAAAGCTGCAGATGGTGTTGACAATACTATCTGCAATTATGAAGCGTCTTCACTTTACCAACACTTCTTACTTTGCTGAAAATTTCCTCTTACATGGACATGCCATGCTAGCAAACAGTGCAATGTTGTGAGTGGTGTGCTGCTTTACTTTTTTTACTTTTATTTTTTTAGGGTAAGTACCATTGACTCTTATTAATCAGGAGGGGAAGAGATCAGTTTTCTCTGTATAACTGAGATCTAGTCTAGAAAACCGGGAAGGATTAGTTCACGGAAGATTCCTTCTTCGTGCTTTCACTCTCTGTGTTAGTGGAGAAGTATGCTTTCTATAATTAAGCTGTTTTGCACTTTAATTATCTGCAGAATGTGCCTATTTGTGTGTTATATCCCTTGTGTCTAGTAGTTGTGAAATGCCAGTTTGACTTGTCTGCTGATACTTTGTAATAGATTAAAAAAATTATTGTGCTGCTTAATGTTGTATATAAGTTTGTATTTTAAATTGTTCTGTTTTACAAAGTATAAGTCATTGGAGAACTGCTGAAGAAATAGAGTTGTTTGTCTATTTAGAGAAAAAATTCTAGATTGAGATTTTGGTTTGAGTGAGATCATCTTGGCAAGGTCAAGTGCCAAGACTTTAACAGAATTAAGCTGAAGAACTGCGTTCAACTCTGGTGCCCCCAGTGAAAGAAGAATGTGGGCCAGCCAGAGCGAGTCCACATGAGTGCCACAAAGATGATCAGAGGGCTGGAGCACTTGTCCTGTAAAGACAGGCTGAGAATATTGGGGTAGGAAGAGCAGGCAAATCTGGGTTGCTTACTTCCCCTAGTGTTCAAATTGTTTAGGTATGAAGCATAGTAAATAAAAAAACCTGGAGATCGTGTACTATCTTAGTATGGACATGGTGCATCGCTCCTTGCCCTGAAGAGATTTGTCAGCTGGGTTGCATGTCCTGCTGGCTGCTCTCTGCCACGATCGCTCTAGTGGTTGCAGGCTGTCTCCCATACCAGCCTTTAGGCTACCTGTCTGCAGTCTTAAAAATGCCTTGACAACTTGATTCTTAATTCTGTTAAAACTTGCCACTTTGCAATGAAGAATAATTAAGTAGTATTTTTAGATGTGGCTATATTTATGGTGTTAGAGGAGTAAGACTTAACCAGTAGTGTCAGGTCTTGGGTACAAATAAGCCCTCTGTTATCTGGGTCACTAAAGGCCCAGGATTTGTTAGGGATTTCTTTGCCTACACAACTCAACATTGTAACTGACTTTATTTTTACAAAACTTACACAATCCTGGTAGAGGTGTGTTTTTTAAAGTACTGAAATGTGGTTTTGAATACAGAATCTGCTTTGTATCTCCTCCTTACGGCTACAGTTTCTCTAAAACGGCAAGCGAGTGAGCAGGATCTGTCAGAAGAGGCAATAATCGGTACATCTGTAGGAAAAATTGTATCCAACCATAATTGAGCTACCTGTGTAACTCTTAGCTTAGTGTACCTGTTCTCACATTCTTTCCCATAATAAAAAATATCCCTCTTGCATATCTTCCAGGTATAGGAGAATAAATTTGATTTAATGGAGTGTAAATATTCTTGAGAGCTGAATGCTATCCAAAACTGTTGAATTATTATCCTATAAATTGAAATTAGCTTTTTTCATTTGTACTGTGTAAATCAATACTGTTTGCTTTCCTTTTAGATCAGTGTATTGTTACTCGGACATACCTCTTTCTTCATAAATTTTGGTTCTTCAGTGCTGCCTATTACTTTGGGAACTGGGCATTCATTGCAGTAAGTACTTTGATTATAGAGATCACTGAATCAAGTTGGATAATTTACAGTTATTGAAATAGTAGTTGTTGAATCATTTGCATCACCACACTGTCATTTAGTTTTGCATACATTACCCTTTTATGCCCTTTAATTGAATCACCATAACTTTTACTACTTATTTTAAATTTGCAGGTCTTTTTAATTGGATTAATTGTTTCATGCTGCAAAGGCAAGAAATCAGTCATTGAAGGTGAAGTGGATGATGATGATTCAGACATGAGTGATGATGAACTCTCTGCTTATTACCATTGACAGTCTTTTGCCTTCAAGATGAAAAAATGTAACAAAGTTATGTTGAAAGTCATACCCATGTGGAATTGGTATCTAAGTAAGCATCCTTGCACTTGTAAAAATAGAGGAAATAAGTGTAATCACTTAAAGGGGTCAAAAAACGAATATTACTTTTTGAGTATCACTTGCATAAGAACATACTGAAGCTGAATAATATATAGAAAGTACTGTTTTATGATTAAAAATAGGTGTAACTTTCTGATGTATAATTTGAACTACTGCAACTATTTCATAATTCAAGATGCTCTTTAAGTTTTCTTAAATACTTTCATGCCTAACTTGTAAGATGGTGTGGGTTTTTTTTTTTCCAAGTTCACAAATAAAACTAGCTAAAATCTGAAAAAAAGCTGGTGCAAACATTGCTAGAAAGATTTGGATAAGGTTTATGCTTTCAGAAGGACATGACATAACTTTTATACTAGTTCACTGGCTAAAAAGAGACTGTCCTAAAGTATGCCAGCCAACATCCACATAATTGAGGAGTTCCCAGTCTGTGAAGAATAAGTCCTTTACATACTGTTATTCCCACTGAGTTCCATGAGAATCCTCAGGAAACCGTGAGGTGGCTTTTGCTCTATCAAAGGAAATAATTAGTATGAATGAAAATATTTAGCATTGTTGCAGTGTTTTAGTATAGTTCAGTTCTGAAACTGCCAGGTGCCTGACTCAGTAATAACCAATGGTATAATTAAGCTGTGATTAATTTTTAACTTATTTTTCTCTTTAATGCAAATTGTCTACTTTGATGTTTTCTTTCGGTATTTAATGTAAATGTTGTCAACTTGTTTACAAGCCAATATGTTTATATAAACACAGTTCATAAATATTTTCATCATTTATGTTGTCTCTGTAGTGTTATTTTAGCTATATAGTTACTGAGCTATATTTCTAAGGCTGAAAGCTATCTTCAGATATCCTTTGAGAGACTCTGAAAGTGAAAATATTTAGAAGTACAGGCTTTTAAACTTTTAATGCTACCTGAGTGAAAGTATAGTCCGTGCAAGCAAGCACATGGAAATGTATCTTGGGTAAACTTTTTATAAGACTGATTGTGAAATAGTTATTGATATGTAGGGGAATAATTAATGTCCTGCTTATGTGTTTGTAAACTCTTAAAACTGACAGATTTCTGTTCAGTTATTTCAAAAGCAGTCTGCCTCTTCCTGTGGTATTTCAGAACAGCAGGCTTTCAGGAACTTTGGAATTTTAATTTAGCTTCAGTATTTCAAGAAGTCTTAGGTGAGTTGCTTAGTTAATGTGTGAACACAGGGAACCGTTGTTTGGATTCTTACAGGAGCAAACAAAACTGAAGTCTTAACAAGCCTGTGCCAGCTGCTCCAATAATGCTCCAAAATACATGTTTATGTGGCAACCTGGAAGAATGTCTGATGTAGCTTGATAATAAGCTGCAAATATGCAGTCAGGTCTGCTTAACTAATAGCAGTCAATCTGTTTGCTACCCATGAGACATTTAAAAGGACAGAAATGTATTCAAACACTGATAGTAGATACTGAAACTTGACTAGGCAGTCTGACTTTGACTAGAATTAGCTGAATACTATTTAAACATGACCACTGGGGAAACTTACAAGGCATTATTTATGAGAAGTTCAGGTAACTGAAATGGAAGTTGAATGTCATGTCCACTGCCTGGAAGCTGCATCCAGAGGATATCAAGAAGTTAAGTATACTTTTTTTTACATGCCCTGGTGAAAAACTTACATGAGCTAATTTAAATAAAGTCAGCTGCACAGATCTTGTACTTTTTTGTGGGTTTTGCTCCTATTTCATCTTCAGCTTTAACCACTGATAATTACCACTTCTTTCTGTACAGTTGTGTTAACCTTTCTGGGTGTAAGATTGAGCTGTGATACCAAATTTTTAAGAGTTGTATCCATCTTAACAATTTCCCCAGTGAAAAGTTGCTTGTCTTCTGAAGATTGGCAGGAAAGTGTTGATTTCATGACATGTAGTTGCTTGCATGTGACATGTAGGCTTAGGGATCATTGGCCAAGATGTCTGGCCAGTCCCTAGGTGTATGTTGCTATAACAGGTCTTCCCTGTTTCTAGGCTAGTTTCATTGCTAGTTTTCTTCCCAGTCCAGTCCTGTTTCCAGTCTATATGCAGAAATACAGTGATCTGCCTTCAAACCTGGTGGCTTGTCTCTTGTTTCTAATTGAAGCATTCAGTAAATACCACTTTTTTTTTAATCCAGGCGTTAACCAGGTTTACAACCAACTAATTGCTAGTTGCAGCTAGCAAGAAGCCTGCTTCTGCACGAGAGTTCAAAAGTTCTTTCAGATATTTGCTGTCACCATCTGTCATACAAGCAGTAAATAACTGTCAGCGTTTATAATCAGTTATTCTTCACATGCCACATCCTCACTGAAGTATCTCGGGAGCTCAATGAACCATTTGACTGACAAGGTTTGAAAGATTTTTGTATGTGTTAGTGTAATTGTAAGAAATATACACTCAAGAAGTGATCTGTAGTCAACACTTCATGTTATAGAAACTTAACATTTTTAACTGTTGTCGTGGTTTAAACCCAGTCAGGAAACTCGTTCACTCACTTCCCCCCTTCTTTCCCTCCCCCTAATCCCAGAGGGATGGAGAGGAGAATCGAAAAGAATGCAACTCCCACGGGTTGAGATAAGAACAGTTTAGTAACTAAGGTATAACACAAATCACTACTGCTACCACCAGTAATAATAATGATAAAGGAAATAACAAGGGAAGAGAATACAACACCTCAGCACCAGCCAACTGATAACTCGCCCCCCCAGCCCGACCGAGCTCTGACCAATACCTTCTCCAACCCTGCAGTCTCCCAGCCCTTCCGGGTAACTCCCAGTTACATCCTGGGCATGATGTGCTGTGGTATGGAATAACTCTTTGGTCAGTTTGGGTCAGGTGTCCTGTCTCTGCTTCCTCCTGGCTTCCCCTCCTCCCTGGCAGAGCATGAGGCTCACAAAGTCCTTGGCCAAACCAAAACATCGCTATCAGTCCTGTTCCCAGGCAGAAAGTCAAAACACTGCAGTGCACCAGCTACCAAGGAGGAGAAAAATGAGTGCTACTGCTGAACCCAGGACAACTGTACAGTGCCTTTAAAGTGAACTAAAGGTGGTTTTGAAGGTTAATGTGTGATAAAGTTGCCAGCTGGATTTGTACATCCAGCATCAGCCAGTGAAGAAAATTAGCAGTGAAATTTAAGATAACCCTGACTTAAAATACTTGGCTTTGGTCAATACTTGCGGGAACTTTAAGAAACAGAATCACCAGTATATTGTTTCCTATTTGTTTCTTGTGCTATCATCAATAAAGTGCTTGCATGTAGAAAAATTAATTACTTCCAAGTTATCGTTGCTGTGGCAGCACCTGTTGCATGGGTGAAATGGATCACTGAGGTGTTGTGCTATGAAATTGTATTTAGAATTTTCTGCAGATTTTGGAGCGAACTTGAACTTTCCAGTCATGTCTTAATAGAGTATTCTGTCGTGTAAGCAAACCTGTAGCATCTTCAGCTGACTTCAGAGGTCTTGGTTTTCTGGACAAAAGTCACTTAAAAAGCTATCAGAGTTGTTCCAAATACCTCTCTGCAGTATGATCTTTCAAGACTTCTGAATAGGTGTAATGTAATGTCAGTCCTGACTTAATTGTTGTTTTACTTTCTAGTTAGGTTCTACCATTTTGGAGGCTCATGAACACCTAGAAACCAGTGAGCCCTAAATGTTGCTGACACATCAAGGATGAGTTAGGGTCACTAGAATATGCTGAATAGAATTCAGCAGGTACATGTGCCAAATGAGCTCCCATCTTGCTGCTTATTCTGTAGTGATTGGTAGTTTACCTGGAGTTACAAATCATTAAGTACAATAAAACCTGTAATAGTCTGTTTTGTTTCTTAGCTGAAAGCTGATGGTATGCTGTGAATTTCCTGCTGATTGTCATAAATGAGTAAAAAGCCTTCTCTGAATAAAGACTGCAAAGAAACATCTGCTACCTTTTTGCACTGTTAGCTTTGACTTCAGAAAAAGATTTCAGTGTGGACAGATTTTGCATCGAGAACAGTAATTTACTTCTAGGTAGTGTGCCATGCTACGTGGAATGGTAATTTCATGCTTGGATAATGTGACAATTTAAGCTAAAAAAATAATTAATCCTTTCAGTGCTGATGTTTTGCTTCTGAATAATCGGTATAGACATAACTCTTCAGGTTCTTTGAGGTATCTTCTACTGCTCAGAAATGTATGTGTTTGGCTCGCAGCTCTTTCGTTATTTGACTTTCTCAACACGTTTCTGAATCGGACAGTAACCTACAACAGCATTTTGGAAAATATTGCTCCCTTATAGAAACTCATGTGGTTTATCCTGAAATACTGGTAACTACTGGCTTGCGTAGCAGAGTTATAGTTGAAGTGTTTTAAGATGGCTGAGTAAGTGTAGAAGATAACTTGCCTCCATGTAAGTAAGTAGATGTTCAACTCAGTATGACAGCACTGGAACAGTTCTGGATATGGATGGGAATATAATGCACTGCTTTTGAGATTAAGCAAATGAAAAATATTCATCCCTTTCTAAAATCATCTAATACTTGAAGTAACCAAGCTGTAACATTTTTCGGATTCATAGAGTGAAGATTACAGTTTGCATTGTTAATACAAGTCTGTTCTCTTGCAACCTTCTGCAAAGTCAGTTTTCTTGCAGATGAAGCAATGAAACAGAATCACTATTCTTTTTTCCTATAAACGTGTGTTTTGACTACTCAAAATAAATAAAAGCCTTTTTTTGATTGTGGTAAGATAATAGTCTAAATTTTAAAACAAATTGTGTTTCTATATTAAGACACTTGGCAAATTGTAATTAAATTAATCAAATTCTCATGTTCTTGACCAGCTTTAGTGAGATGTAGTTGTTACAGAAATTATCTGGAAGTTGGACTAATTTTAACATCCCATTTGGTGAGATTGCATGAGTGATAGCACTTCAATCAAATTTAAAGCTACAAAGAGGATTATTTATTTGAAATAGAAAATATAAGCACACTTAACAAACTATAGCTTTTTTTTTCCAGGTTCATGTCTAGAAAAAGAGTTACATATTTAGGGCATCAGAAAGAAGAGGTTTGTTTTCTGGAGGGCAGGTCTTAGAGGTTGTTCTGGTTTCATGCTGGGTGTGGTGGTGTGTGCCAGTAGCCCCAGCTAATTGTGAGGCTGAGCCTGCTGCATTGCTTAAGCCCAGAAGTTCTGGGCTGCAGTGTGCGGTATGCTGCGCAGGCATCCACGTTAAGACTGGCATTAATATGGTAAGCCCTGAGGAGCTGTGGCATGCCACGCTGACTAAGGGGGACAGTGAGCAAGCAGCTGCATGGCTCTGAGTTACCAGTGGGCTTAAACCAAGATGGAGTTATGCCAAACATCTGTTTTTTCCTGATCCTCCTGTGTTCACCACCTGGAAGGACATGTGGGACCATCCTTTATAACAGCTGCCTAATGCTGAATCTTAATTTTGCTTGCTTATAAACATATCTGGGGGTTTTGCCCAGAGGTAGTATGCAGGTTGCCTCTAAAACATACAACTTAAAGTTTTGAGCGATTTTTGAAGAACAGTATCAAAATCCTTACCATGAGAATCCAAGTATCTTGCATAAGGGTGGGGACTGAGAAAATTCAATGCAAATGTGGAGCTGAACATATGTGTAGTTCATACGGAAATTCACTTCTGGATATGGGCCTTTTCATCAGAAAGTATCAAACTGCCTGTGAGGAAGTAAAATACAGATTGATTTAATAGCGCTTCTGCTAAACTGTTTAAACATAAATCACGATGTTACTGTGAGCTATATAGAGTTAGAAAATTCTCCAACATCTAATAAGTGTATTACTTCAACTGAGAGTACTTCAGACTCAGGGCAGCAACAAGGACTTCTGAGAATGTGAATGTCTGATATTCCCCCCTCCCCCAAAAAAAAACTATATATAAAGCAATCTATAGACATACTATGATAATAAACACTTGAAGGAATGTTCTGGTACTAAAGTGTTTGATTCTGATAGTTAATGTGTAATTTAAAGGTACCTCTTACTTCCTAATCTGAGAATCATAGCGCCTTTAAGGTCGAGTCCAACTGTAGCCCTAACACTGCCAAGTCCACCAGTACCATGTCCCTGAGTGCCACCCCTACACAACTTTAACTCATTTGAGTTGTTCTTCTCCAAACTTTAAACAATGCAAGTCTGCATCCTTACTGCCTGCTGACTTTACATCCTTTCTAAGTAGAAATGATCAAGATGCTGATGGCAGGTGGATCCAATTTGTGTGGAATATTCTCTTGAAATGTGCCAGTGAAAATTTATTGTAAAGAAAAATGTTTCCTTCTGCTTTCAGGTGCATATTCCTCAGTGTAGAATAGCTGATTATTCTGAACCTGAGACTTAAGTTCTTAACAATGGACAAGTGCATGGGGAGGGAGGGGAGGTAGCAAACCAACCCGCAGTTATAAAACATGAACTCCAGAGGAATCTTTATTTCCCCAGCTGTGAAGCAGTTAATTTATTTTTTTTTCCCAGAAATTGATCTTGAAGAAATAATGACAGTTTTATTAATATCCTTGTCTATAAAAATAAAAAGCTGTGCAGACACTGATAGCAGAGTTGTTTCAGGGTGGGATTTTCAAAAATGAGGAGTGCAGCTCCTGCTGAAAACCTCTGGGAGTTCAGATCCCAGGTGATTTGAAAAATGTTGCAAGTGCTTTAGGAAAATATAAACCAGTTTTCCTTCCCAGTTCATGAGTAAAAAAAAATATGTAAAAAACATATGTCTATATACATGTATGTAAAAAGATGCGTAAATATGTAAAAAAAAAAAAACAACCCACGTATATATGTATATAAAAGTATATCCTTTTAATGAATGGTATCAGATATGCCAGCAGGCTTTGTGTATTTGAAAATACTTTCTTGAAAAAATTAGTACTTGACTAATACAATCACTGTAGAACAGCTTTCAGGTTTAACTTCTGAAATGTTATCAGATGTTCCCACTTCTCATAGGGAGCAGAAGTGTACTGCCAGAAGCTGGATTCTTTCCTAAACCTAGCTTGGAGCACAGTGTTAGGAGATGTAATGATAGAGAAGTTTGGTTGGTTGTGTTTGAGTTTTTTGGTTTTTGTTGTTTTGGTTTTTGGTTTTTGTTTTGTTGTTGTTGTGGGGTATTTTTTGGTTTTTTTGTAGATGCTATATTTAATATGTGACTCCTAGCCCTGTGCTATTTGAAGCCTCTCCAAATGCTACCTGACAGTGTGCTGGAGAATGCTGACATCTCTAGGGAAAGAGTATGTTCAAAGAAGCAGTTTTTCATAGGCAAGACAAAAGTTGAGAGGAAAGACACTTCTTCCATGTGCTAGATCCACAGAAGAATTTACAGCTTGTGCTGCAGAGCTCAGCACTAACTACATTTTAGACAATCTGGTAGCTGAAATCTAGACATACTTTTGCTTTAGGCCAATTCTCATTGTGGGGAGATGTCATGGTTTAAACCCACTAGGAAGACGAGAAGTAACTGCTACAGCTGAAACCAGGACAGGAGAAGTAATGCTGCAGGATGGTGTATGCAAAACTAGAGGGCTAAGAAGCAGCTTACCAGTTGCGGATGCACAGGACCTAAACTTGGTGTGTAGGTTCCTATGTTTTGGTCTATAAAGAGGCTTTAAGTGGTGATAAATCTAATTTATCTATTAGGTCAGTGGACAGCTGATCTAGTTGAAAAATGCCCGTGCTTGTTATGGGGTAAGTTGGACTAGATGACCTTTAAAGGTCCCTTCCAATCCAACCTATCTATGATTCTCTTCGTGCAATCATTCTCTTGATGGTTTAGATCTCAAAAGTTATATAGCCTATTTGGGAATTTGGCAAAGAGATGAACGTTTGGTGGAAGCAGCATGAGGCCTGAACCTAGGATATTAGACCCGGCACTTGAACTTTCTTGCATTTGTAGAAAAGGTTGATTAAAAGATGTGGGCAGAACTTAGCCTGAACAAGTCCTATCTAAATCCTGAGCTACCCAATTTTAAACAGACTAATCCCAGGTATTTTTGAAAACTATTAATGCGTGATTTGGGCTACCAGGCTTCCAAGTTTTCTGTATTTAAGGTCCCTTGTGTGTTCAGAGATGATTTTCTCTGCACATGTGCCCAGCATCTGAGTTGTACTGTTTGAAATACACCTGGGGCTACCCACTTCATGCAGACAACCAGCTGCCTGCAATATCTGCCCAATCATGACACTATCCTCAGAATTCTGTTTTCACACCTGGACAAGAATTCTCATCATTGCACTCAGAGGAAGA